CCAAGGATTCCATGTTTTGTCAAAGAAGAACAACATATCATTCAACAATGCTGAAAGCCATTTGTTAACCATAATGAAGGATAGTTTGGCCTTTATTATCTCAAAAGGGATTGTGGGAGATTTCCAAGATCTAGCAATAGAGATTCTGGCATCCACATAAATGAATGTGATTACTATCCTAATGTGTCTGGTTAAGCCCTCTGGTGAGCAACCTAACAAAGCCTGCTGGGGAGATTTGACAAGGTTTGCTTGTGTGAGTATCTAAAATTATACACTTGAATACAAAACCTCCGCACTTTCCAACATGACCACCAAGTATGAAAGGTGGTGCCTACTTGTCCGCAGCCCATAAAGCACTGAGAGGAGGCTCTCAGGACACACTTTGCTATTCTCACAGGTAACATATACCACCTTTAAAAGTACCTTGTAGTTGGCATCTATTAGAAATGCACTTCTCAAACATCAATTTTCTCCAGCTTTTCATGTGCAGTTAAACAAACCTTAACATGTAAAGTTTATTACTAACCAAAAAGGTAAGTAGAATTCCAAAAGGATTAGAACCCCTTGTAAGGTTTATGTCACTGTTTTTGTCCACACTGAGGAGATTGACCTCTAATTTTTCTGGAGACCATTGCCATTGGGAGAGAATGTGGTAAGAAATCGAAAATTCTGTGTTTGTTCCCTTAACAAGGATTGAAGAAAATCTTTCAATAGAGACATCTGAGGTGAAATATGTTTAAAAGGAGATTTTCCTTCTAGAGCGTTGTCATCTCATTTCCTGATGTTTCTGTGGGACAGGAGTGTAGGGAAACTTTTCAATGCTACTTAGACACTCACAAAAGAATCTGTCAGGGAGATTTAACATGCCTAATTTGACCTTCCATTAACACTTACCCATCAATGTAGCTCTTAAAATTAATTTCAAATTTAATCCTTACCTCTTAAAGCATATCTTAAAATTATTTTATTTACTTCCATATTGAATTTTAATTATGCCAAGCCTACTTTCTTAAATCTGGAGGATCTTGATGTTCATAAAATACTTTGTGAAGATCCCAACACATTTACTCCCTTGAATTCTATGACATGTATTAACTATTACCCTGTGAATAAGCATTGCTGTGTTACACATTTCACAGAGCCTGCCTTCTGACTTACATAAGTGCTGAAAAGAGGAGTTTTAAGAGGTGGAGTCAGCAAAGGAATCACAGCTGGTAGGCAGCAAGGTACCATGGGATATGAAGTCCTCAGAAATTTAAAGTGAATAGCATAGGAGAAGTTAAAAAGCATGCAGGGAATTCAGGAAATTGTGGAAAGTGATGGCCAGCAGACATGGCAGCATCAACATGAAAGGATATTTTTTTAAGTAAGATTATATTGGACTGTCAAAAATAACTACTGTTTGTAACACAAAACATCTGCATTCTGAAAATACACTAGCCTCGCATGCACAGTTAACCACTTGACCTCTGGAAGATTTTACCCCCTTCATGACCAGGGCACTTTTTTTTTTTTGCTATGCAGCACTGTGCTACTTTAACTGGCAATCACTTGGTCATGCAACATTGTACCCAAATTAAATTAAAAATTTTTTTTTAACACAAATAGAACTTTCTTGGTGGTATTTAATCACCACTGGGTTTTTTTAATTTTTTGCTATATAAAACAAAAAAAATACCAAACATTTAGAAAAAAAAAGTTTTTCTTTTCTGCAAACAAATAATCCTTTCTTCATAAATTCAGGCCAAAATGTAGTCTGCTACATTTCCTTGGTAAACATAACCTAAACAGTGTATATTATTTAGTCCCTCCCTCCTAGATTGTAAGCTCGAAAGAGCAGGCCCTCGATCCCCTCATGTTTTGCATTGTATTGTTGTTGTTCTGTCACATGTTCTGTCCCCCATCTGTAATGTACAGCGCTGAGCGAACTATTGGCGCTTTATAAATACTGTATAATAATAATAATAATAATAATATAATACTTTAGTCTGTGTGAAAGTTATAGAGTATACAAACTATGGTACAGTATATACTGTATATATATTTGAATATTGATCAATTTTGATGTACTGATGGCCAGATCTCATTACTTGAGGCCCTGAAATGCCAGGACAGTAAAATACCCTCACAAATGACCCTTTTTTTGGAAAGTAAAACAGTCCAAGGTATTTAGTAAGAGACATGGCAATTTTTTTGAAGTTGTGCTTTTTTTGTGTCACAATTTCTTATAAACTGAAGATATTAAAAAAAAATGGGGGTTTTCTTCACATTTTTTGTACATACTGTCATCAGTGCAGTACAGTGTCATCTTATAACTTGTGTGAAGGTGATCAGGAATACTAACTGGTGACAGTACGTAAAAAAACTAACTTTTTTAACTTTTTTAACTAATTTTTTATTTTAACTTTTTTCTTTTTGTTTACATTTGCTTTATTATACTGTCATCAGAGTAGTTCAATGTCACTATTGTGAAACTGTTCTACCCCTTGAGGATGGGGTGATTGGCCCACCGCTATCCACATGGTACAGGGTGCTGTGACTGGCCCAGTTTACCATGTGATAGCTGTGGGCCAATCACAGCATCACAATAGTAAGCAAGCTGTAATGAAAGCCATTCATGACAGTTTTGCTTACATGTTATCATTTGGTTGCTCTGATTGGTCATAGAAAACAACATGATTCCCTGGATGCTCACAGCGGCCGGGTAGCAAGCACTGTGATCCACTATGTCCACCAGACACAGCAGTCACACAGGATCATGCTGCTGCATACCTCAGTGAAAAGCACTAGTGCGCATAAGCACTGCAACATACGTATATTGTACAGCGCTGAGCAAACTTTTTGGTGCTATATAAATACTGTATAATAATAATAATAATATACTTTTGTAGTGCCTGGGGAAGCAGCCCACCAGCAGTAACTGTCTTGGGATACTCTAGCATGTTATGTGTAGGTGCTGGACCACAGCAATATGGGGAAGGAGACTATACCTTTTATTCGTTTTCTCCTCCCTCAGCTGAGATATTGATGCTATGAGGCACCATAACTCTCCAACCAGCAGGGGTAAGCTAAAGCCAAGCAAATCCAATGTCAGGATGTGGTAGCCCCATGTTTCCCAGAATGGAAAGCTGTAGTTTCAGTGTTCACTCAGTGGGTGTCTCCCACAGCTAGTAATCAGTTTCCACCTGATGCTGGCTGCTGGGTGGGTATTTCGTCTCACCTCTGCTAGTACACTTTGCGTCAGTGTTTTCCTTTGCTTGCTGCACAGATGCTGAGTGCCATTTATCCAGCTCCTGATCTTGAGCTTGTCCTGCATCCTGTTCCCTGCTGCCTTTTTTCACTTAGTTTTACTTCTTAGTTACGCTTTTTGGTTATATGGTTGTGGTTCACTTGGCTTTTTATGTTTGCTATGTGCGAGTATTTGGATGTCTCTTATTTTGCTAATAATAAATTTACTTTATTATATATAGTCTGGTCTCGGTTTCCTTGTGTAGCCACACAGATCTGGCCATCTCAACTGACACCCAAAGATTTCTATGCAGAGCGAAGAGAATCCTGAGAGTTGTAACTTGAGAAGGCTGTCATATCATGGGAAAAATAGACTCCTTATATTACAGATCCCAATAGACACTGTGCAGTAGCAGGAGTGGAAAGATACATTTTATTAATATCTGCCCAGGAAAGTTCTTCCTCTTGGCACCAAGGGAGTTAGAGAGACAGCACCTCTGCCTGGATGTTCACCTGCCAATGGATACCATGCCAGTGGAGATCTGGCAGTGAGGACACCCAGGGCAGCGTAGCACTGCCCATATCACAGCACCTGCACCACTGCCACGTCCACTCACCCTCTGCTTCCCACAACTGATCACCAGAGGCTTGTTAATCTTATGCTTGCCTGGTTACCAATCCTATTTGGTGACAATATATTAAGTTTGCCTTTACTACCTGGTTTGGTGCCTGTTTTCTTTGATATAGCACTACTACTATGTACTAAGTATTGCTGTCAGTGACTTCCTGTGATATTGTATGTTTGTACACTTAATCTGGTGTCAGAGGGGCTGAGCTTCTTGAGAACCATTGTATCACTAAAGCACTATATAGGGAATTGTAAGCTGATTTTACAGATGCTTAGTGAAATTTGATAATTGCAATAGACTTTCTAAGTGAAAGCTGTTTGTTAGACCAACTTTAACATTCTTGTTAATAAATACTACTGCACAGGAGAAGCCAATCCCTTTTTTTTTTTTTTTTAAAACTTATAGTATTTCTCTCTGCAGAGGTATTCCAAAACTGAGTTTTTGGTCTCTGTAGTTTTACCAAGACTCTGCTCCGTCCACCCGCCAGAGCGATCGCGGCTCACACCAGCCCTGAGGGATTTAGCCACTACAGGGAGACTCAGGAGAGGTGTAAAACCCTCTCCAGCGATGCCACGCAGACGGAAAACCCCTGGACAGCCAGGGAAACTGACTCAATTTTTCCCTGCTGTCTCAGCAGGGATCCAAAATGGCGCCGGCGGCGGCGCTGAGGGGAACAGCAGCCGGGAGAGGGGACCACACTGTCAGGGCTCCCAGGTGTGACCAGAGGTGTGTGACTGACGCAGGGGAAACGCAGACTTCAGATATGTGATAAACAATACAATTTATTAACACTAACCATACAAACATAAATGCAGTGCAATACTAAAACATAATACAGTGCAAACAAACCAAACCAACCACCCACAGATAACAGTACATACAAGCAAGCGTCGTCAGGCAGGCCGGGTCAATATCAATAGGGCAGGTAGGTACAGGGGGAGCAAGCGGAGATGGGTCGGGGTCACAGGCCAGGTTCAGCAGGTAGCTAGCAGCGTAGTACAGAGGGTCAGGCAGAGGGATGGTCAGGGTCACAAGACAGGGATCAGAACAGGTAGCAAGCAGCGTGGTACAGAGGGTCAGGCAGAGGGATGGTCAGGAGCGACCCGGGATCAGAGCAGGAGAAGTCAAGCAGCGGTTCAGATCAGGCAGGGTCAGCAAAGGCCCGCTGGCCAGCCCTGGTACTGCAGATCAAAAGGCAGGTGAGTCCCACCATTGCTGGCCAGTCCATTCCTGACAGTACCCCCCCCTCAAGCAGCGGCCTCAGTCCTAGCTGGGCAAAATGTTCCACCGCCCGGGTCTGGTAACTGGCGGGATATCAAAGACAGGCGGGGCGACAGGCATCGGGCCCCCGGGCGGGGCGACGGGCATCGGGCCCCCGGGCGGGGCGACCGGCATCGGGCCCCCACGCGGGGGTTGACGGGCATCGGGCCCCCGGGCGGGGGCGACGGGCATCGGGCCCCCAGGCGGGGCGACGGGCATCGGGCCCCCAGGCGGGGCGACGGGCATCGGGCCCTCAGGCGGCGTTGAGCGGCGGGCGCCGGATTCCCAGGTGGAGCGACAGGTCTCGGGCCCTCAGGCGGAGCGGTGGGCGCGGACCCCCAGGTGGAGCGACAGGTCTCGGGCCCTCAGGCGGAGAGCGGCGGGCACCGGACCCCCAGGCGGGGGACAGGTCTCGGGGCCCTCAGGCGGAGTGACAGGTCTCGGACCCCCAGGCGGAGCGGCGGGCGGACCCCCAGGCGGAGCGACAGGTCTCGGGCCCCCAGGCGAAGCGGCGGGCACCGAGTCACCAGGCACGACAGTGGGCTCCGAGTCAACTGGCATGACCGCTGGCACTGGGTCAGACATTGGATCGTCTGGCTGGACAGCGGGCATCTGGTCACCAGGCATCAGGTCATTTGGCTCGACAGCGGGCACCGCGTCATCTGGCAAGGCAGTGGGCTCCGAGTCAACTGGTATGACCGCGGGCACTGGGTCAGACATTGAATCGTCTGACTGGACAGCGGGCATCGGGTCACCAGGCATCAAGTCATTTGGCTCGACAGCGAGCACCGCGTCATCTGGCAAGGCAGTGGGCTCCGAGTCAACAGGCACGACAGTGGGCACCGGGTCATCAGGTCCTGGATTGCCTGGCTCGACAGCGGGCATCGGGTCACCAGGTATGACAGCGGGCACTGGGGTCACCAGGCATCAGGTCATTTGGCTCGACAGCGGGCACCGCGTCATCTGGCAAGGCAGTGGGCTCCGAGTCAACTGGTATGACCGCGGGCACTGGGTCAGACATTTGGATCGTCTGACAGGACAGCGGGCATCGGGTCACCAGGCATCAGGTCATTTGGCTCGACAGCGGGCACCGCGTCATCTGGCAAGGCAGTGGGCTCCGAGTCAACAGGCACGACAGTGGGCACCGGGTCACCAGGCATTGGATCGTCTGGCTCGACAGCGGGCATCGGGTCACCAGGTATGACAGCGGGCCCTGGGTCACCAGACATCAGGTCATTTGGCTCGCCAGCGGGCACCGCGTCATCTGGCATGGCAGTGGGCACCGAGTCACCAGGTACGACAGCGGGCTCTGTGTCAATTGGCACGATAGCGGGCACCGGATCAGGTACCGGATCATCTGGATCAACAGCGGGAATCGAGTCAACTGGCCTAATAGGATCGTCAGGCTGGATCAGTTCATCATGCTGGGTAGAGGCATCAGGCTGAATGCCGGCGTCCGGCTGAGTAGAGGCTTCAGGCTGAGTAGAGGCATCAGGCTGAGTAGAGGCTTCAGGCTGAGTAGAGGCTCCAGGCCGAGTAGAGGCTCCAGGCCGAGTAGAGGCTTCAGGCCGAGTAGAGGCTTCAGGCCGAGTAGAGGCATCAGGCCGAGTAGAGGCATCAGGCCGAGTAGAGGGCTTCAGGCCGAGTAGAGGCTTCAGGCAGAAGAGAGGCATCAGGCTGCGTACAGGCATCAGGCTGAGTACAGGCATCAGGCTGAGTACAGGCATCAGGCTGAGTACAGGCATCAGGCTGAGTAGAGGCTTCAGGCTGAGTAGAGGATTCAGGCTGAACCACGGAAGGCAGGTTCACCGGTTTGGATACTGGCAGGATGGTATTGGTTGGAAAGAATTTTCGCTTTTTTCTGGTTTTAACTACTGGAGCACTGCAAGTAAAAGTAAACGCAGGTCTGCAAACGAATGGAGCAGCTGGAGACAGAGAAGAACTGGAGGATGGAACAGGAGAGGGAGCAGTTGCTACAGAGGGCTTTTTTACAGGGTTAAAGGCAGGATAGGTGCAGCGAGTGGGAACAGGGTACTGACATGCGGTAGATAGCCAAGTATACTGGGCTGTAACTGGGGGAGTTGTTGGGAATACAGGAGTAGAGCTTTGAGGAAATAGATTAGAAGCAGGACTGGGTCTTTGTAAGCTGACTGAGGCTGGGTGCAACAAGTCTGTCCATGTCTGCAGTATGGGTTGAACAAAGCTGAGCTTACACAAAGCCTGTCTGACCAAAGACTGCACTGCGTTTATACAATCTCTTAGTGTCTGTGGTGAACATGTGGAATAACGCTCCAGAAAGTAACCCACATCATCCTCTAATAACCACACCAGGGACTCTACCTGGTCTGCACTAAATGGTGGCAAAAAATTCATCCCCTGCATTCGGGGGGGAACCAGATGAAACCAACTCAACACAAACCTTAATCAATGGCTGCACCATAGAGAAATCTGTGCCCTGATCTACTAGAACATGAGCGAGCCGTATACATTCTAGCAGTTCATCCCGGGTATACTCCTTCAGAGTTTGATAAGCATATTTTCTGTCATCAAGCACTAGCAGAGATAAATACTCAACCTCATCCAGATCCATCCTTCCCAGCAACAAGCCAAGATGGCTTCCCTGTGCAGCCACTTCTGGTCAGGATTGGCCTTGGTGTAATGTCAGGGCTCCCAGGTGTGACCAGAGGTGTGTGACTGACGCAGGGAAACGCAGACTTCAGATATGTGATAAACAACATAATTTATTAACACTAACCATACAAACATAAACGCAGTGCAATACTAAAACATAATACAGTGCAAACAAACCAAACCACCCACAGATAACAGTACATACAAGCAAGCGTCGTCAGGCAGGCCGGGTCAATATCAGGTAGGTACAGGGGGAGCAAGCGGAGATGGGTCGGGGTCACAGGCCAGGTTCAGCAGGTAGCTAGCAGCGTAGTACAGAGGGTCAGGCAGAGGGATGGTCAGGGTCACAAGCCAGGGATCAGAACAGGTAGCAAGCAGCGTGGTACAGAGGGTCAGGCAGAGGGATGGTCAGTAGCGAGCCGGGATCAGAGCAGGAGAAGTCAGCAGCGGTTTCAGATCAGGCAGGGTCAGCAAAGGAACAGAAACAGGATGCAGGACAGATACAGGGCCCAGGACAAACACAACACAAGGCAGAGTCTGCAAGTCTGGCCATCCCTTAAATACACCAGTATCATCAGTTCCAGGTGTTAGCTGGCTGAAAGGTTGAGTCTCTAATTGCTGGGAGCACCCACTGGCCAGCCCTGGTACTGCAGATCAAAAGGCAGGTGAGTCCCACCATTGCTGGCCAGTCCATTCCTGACACACACAGCCCAGCAAACAGACGCAAGGCTGAAATACTCGCTGTACCCTGGGTACCCTGGTGAGTCATCTCCCCCCCTGTCCCCCACTACAAGCAGCCCAGCCAAGTCTAGACCACGTCTAGACTCAGACCATATACCTGCCGACCAGGCCCTAAACCATGCACCACAACACCTCAACACTGACCTACCAGTGATTGAAGCGTTCCCCGCTAAAGACCAGCCAATCACCGAAATTTCCATGAAGAACATGTTATTGTCGCTTAGACAAACTCTGCACAGCGATTTAACATTGTCACTATCCCAGATTACAACCGTGGTCCAACAACAGGAACATAGATTGCATCATATTGAATCCAGAATGGGAGAGGTGATTATGGTGCATAATGACCTGATTGACGAACACGCGGACCATACATCTGACATCGAACAAATAAATTTGAAGTTGGCCGACCTAGAAGACCGATCACGGCGCAATAAGATCAAGTTCAGAGGTATCCCCTGAAAGCGTCACCAATGAGGCATTACTACCCTACATACAACAATATGTAAAACACCTCATTCCATCTCTCTCAGATATAGAGCTTGCCATTGATCGAGCCCACCGAATACCTAAACCCTCCTTACTGTCAGCATCCATCCCAAGAGATGTTCTGGCTCATATCCACTTCTACCACATAAAAAGAAAAAATTATGTCGGCAGCCAGAAACCCTCCTTCTCTCCCACCATCACACGCAAAGATCCGACTGTTCGCAGATCTGTCAAAGGCCACGCTCCTGAACCGTAAAAGATGATTACTATTACTGAAGCCTTACGAAACCACGGAATAGGCTACCAATGGGGCTTCCCTACAAAACTTACCGTGAAAACAACATGGTAGAATCTACACAATCAAAAACCTCGAAGCGGGCCTAGATTTACTTAAAACATGGAATATATTACTGGCGTACACACAGCAATCCACCCCTACCAATCTCCAAAATATGGAGGCAGAATGACCCTGACACACCATCTATATACTACTACTACTTTCATCCCTGATACTAAATCCCGCTCCACTAATCTCTGGCGATCGGCCCTGTACAGAAAATGTCCTCATTACAAGAATCTGTTTGGCACGACCTCCTTTATGGTCAATGCCTGTTCAAACCCCCCCCAGTTCTGGAGTAGCATGTCGAGCTACTCTGGTTACTTGCATTATACGCAAGTCTTTTTTATTACCTTTTTACCCACCTCTCCCTCTGCTCCTCTGGCACCAGCAATCGACCACACTTACTGTATGTTCCTCTGAAACCAACGAAATACCGTGGAATACTCACCCTGAATCACCGATCGAGACAAGGTTATACCGCGAAACCGATGGAACTCCTCCTCTCACAACGACATCCACCCAAACTCATTTTTTTTTCCAAACATCAAATCACCTATCCTGGTATCCATTCAACAGATCCACATTATGATTAGTATTACATCTCTTAATGTTCGTGGCTTGAATTCCCCCATTAAGAGATCGATGCTTCAAAAGGAAACTCGAACATTTCAGGCCAATATACTTTTCCTGCAGGAAACACACTTCGCAAACAAGCAAGACCCCCAAACTACAATTGAATAGATTCTCCTACGTTTATATGGCCACTAACCACAAGAAAAAAAATGGTGTCATTACAGCTATAAAAGACTCAGTTCCGATACATCTCAGGAAATGCTGACCCTCAAGGGTCGCTATCATATTCTAACTTGCCAAGAAAAAAAATCTCCTACACTCTAGTAAATGTCTATGGACCCAATAACAACCAGATGCAATTCTACCACAAACTTTACACCATCATCTCTGCTCAAAAACAAGGCAGACTCCTCATTGGCAGAGACTTTAACGTCATCAGCAACCCTCTCCTAGACTCGAGCTCTGATAAAAGATCTCCTAAACAAAACTTCAACCGCTTTCTGCACAACCAAGACCTCTACAACATCTGGAGATGCCAACACAGCAATGAGAGAGACTACACCTACTATTCCCCCTTCTCACCTATCCTACTCCAGAATCGATTTTTTTATCAGGGACTAATGGACACTACAACACGTAACATCATCCAAAATTGGTACCATAACCTGGTCAGACCATGCTCAAATCAACATAACCCTAGACGACAATCAACGCTCTAAATCTCTCCTATCTGGAGACTGAATTCTACAATTTTGAAGAACCCAGAGAACCAGAAACATACCTGTTAGAAGCTCATAGTCTATTCCTAGAATTTACTGCTACACCTGACATTTCTATAACTACAATGTGGGCCTGCTTATAAAGCTTACATGAGAGGTATCCTCATACAACTAAATTCCCGTATCAATAAGCAACATCCCAGCAAATTGACCAACTTCTAACCTCCATAAAATTAAATGAAGAAATCAACAAAATAAAACCAAATCTCTCCACATCTGCATCCCTGACATCAGACAGAAACAAACTCCGAACTATCCTACTCCACAAATATGACCTCAACCTTAAAAAATGAAATCACAATTCTACTCACAGGGTAATAAGGCAAACTCACTCTTAACAAAAATAATCAAACAAAGACGACTCAAATCGAAAATCTCTACAATTCAACACCCAACCACACACACTCTGTTCACAAACCCGCAAGACATAGCCAATGCCTTCGCTACTTATTACCAAAAATTATACAATATTAAAGACGACTCGAACACAACCCAACCGACAACTGCATCCATACAAAACTTCCTAGCTACCACTAATCTTCCACGACTCACACCATCTCAACTCACATCTATATCAACTCCGATTATTCCCGCAGAAGTAGAAAAAACGATAAAGACCTTACCTTTAATAAATCTCCAGGAAACGACGACTTCACACGAATGAATTCTATAAAACATTTGCACCCAATCTCACACCGCATTTATTTGTTCTATTCAACCTTGCTGCCTCTACAGGTGATTTCCTTAACAAAAAATCCAGGTAAAGATCCCCAATCGGTTCAGAACTACAGACCAATCTCACTATTAAACACAGACATATAAAACTATATGCCAAA